GTTTTGGAAATTATAATTTTAAGAATTTGTTTTTGTCTCCTACTCTTTATATTCTTTACGCTGTTTTCTTCTTTTTGTTCTCCTTCCATGACCTCCAACTTTTTTCACTTGCTGTCCCTGAAAGACAGGTAGGAGGAAAACAATAAGTTGAAAAAAATAATGGAAAATAAACCCCCTACTTCTCCTCTTCTGGTACCATTTTCTTCTAAAGAAGAAAATTTCAGGAAAAAAAAATCAGTTTCCTATTGTTTCATATAATCAGGTTCAACTTAAAAATCCTGTCAAAACATTATAATTTAACATTAACATGTAACTTGAGTTATATAGCAAGTAAGACAATTGTGCCTGCTCTGAAGAGCTTGCAGCCTGTCAGAAGACAAGACAAGACACTAGGGGGGATTACACCATGAAGGAGAATAAATGAAATGAGTGACAGAAAAAGGAATACAAAAACCATCTTAAAAGTTTAGGTGAATGGTGCAACACACATACTGTTAGCTCCTATGCTTTCTTTTCTCTTTAAAAAAAAAAAGTCTTAATGTTTTTTTTTTAACTTACTAAACTCCTTTGATAAAACTTCTCAAAACATATAAATGATTTAGGAGCCAGTGTTGTATTTCCATGAGTATACAACCATTTAATATCCATGAATTTGATAGTTAGTCAGTTGAAAATGAAGTTCCTTAACACAGGGTTGTTATTTTATGTTTTGGGACAGGATGTCCACTTGGCTCTGTACCACAAAGTACTTTCACAGAGAAATGTTTTTAGTGGAGGATGATAGGGAGAGTTCATAGAAAGAGTGGTTTAAAAGTGAATGTACTTCATGAAAAATCCTCTTGTAAGCAAGATCTTGGAAGATTATTTTGGGCAAGGATGAAGGTGTGATTTGAAATTGAAAGAAGTTGCAGTGCATAAATTATCAGGAAAGAGGTTCTGGGTATGTTTGTGGAAGACAGACCAAAAGAAGGATAGAGAAATAATTGACAGAAAATTGAGGGTTCAGCCTTGCCTTCTTTCTTCCCTGAGCCACTGACGTTCTCCTTTGCTCACAGTGTGCACCTGCCATACCCACTCACTTCCTTAGGTGCTATATCACCAGTACATAAACCCCTCAGGTAGTCAGTCTCAAGTAATTCTGTTCTTCAAAGTGATGTCACCAAGTAGCTGGGAAATAATTATGTTAGAGAAGAATGTGTCAGCTAATTAAATAATTTTTATCCTGTTCTCACAGTAAAAATCCCAACCTTTGACCTGCACCAGATTTTACTGTATAGTGTACTAAAGAAAAGCAACAAGGAAACTTTTCTTGATGCGTTGTTTATAAGAAAAGTCCACCCATAACAAGAGACAGTTTGGAACATGAAAAGACTGCATAAAATGTTTCTTTTGGTAGCTGAAAGTTGCAGGGAGGTGCACTCCTGCCTGCATGCATTAGTAGATTAACAGTGAATTTTGTAAATTGAAATGTAATTGGAGTTTCCAGTGAGACAGACTTGTGAATAAATTGGGAAATATCTATTCCTAATAACTGTATATCTTGCCTCACATTCCTGAAATGTTCCCAGGACTTGGGAAAAAAAATGTAGCAACTTTTTATATCTAAAAATAAGATATTTACTGATGAAGTAATGAAATAGTTAAGACATGCATTTCCTAGACTTCAGAATTAACTAGAACTGCTTAGGCAAAACCTTCAGTTGGATATGAGAACAGATTTAAGGACAGTAGAATGTGTCATGTTCTAGAGTAACAGCAAAGAATGAGCACACATATGTTAATTAGAGGAGACAGGGCCTCTTCAGTATTTTGAGGAGTAGCAGTTGCTCCTGCACTGTGTGGTGCAGGTAGATAAGTGCTTGGGCCCCTCATTGATCCTTACTGGTAACAGCAATTTCCGAAGAGTTGTCTGCAGGTTTCATTCTTGGCTCTTCTGCTGGCCAGTTCGGTGACCCAGAACATGACATGATATCTGAGCATATTCTTTGCTCTCTTGTGGTTCACCTCTTGTGGACAGTAAGCTCCTCCAGACAGAGATGATCTTCTGTTAGACATTTGTACCAGGGTGAACACAGCAGATCAGTAACCCTGACGGTGTCTCTGCTCATTATTGCACCTCCCCCCAGCTTCTTCACTGCTACCATAATGTGAATGTACTGTCCATGGGTAATGCTTGTGAAGAAGCTGCAGCACAGGTGGGGTGTACTTTTCTTCAGAAGAAGGGTTGCCTAGACCTCTACAATAAGCACAAGATAGCAGAAAGTATTACCAAAGCATAACAATGCAGAGTCATGATAGGTTACAGAAGCCTTTCAATTTAGTTAATTTTTTTTTTTGAGCACTGGAAAAATGTAAAAAGCTTTGAGTGAACTAACAAAAAACCAACCTGCTAGACCAGAGAGCCTAGCTCTGAACAGCTGTGGTCTGTTTTTTTAGGATAAATTTGAGCTTTTTCCTTAGAATTCTGAAAAACTACGTTAGCATGTACTAGAGTAGTGGTTGCTTTCTAGCATGGTCTCCTTTAGAGTCCCAGAGGCATTACCCACACCACCAAAACCCAGTGGTTGTGACCATGCACATGACCATGGGGTGTGTACATGGCCATGGGGACTTCAGCATATTCCTTAACAAGCATCTCTTTGATATATCTACCAAATGAACTATAAAGGATAGGAATTATCACAACAGATGAGGGTATGAGAATCTGCCTGGCTGTTTAGGAAGGTGGGAATAGTGAAATTTATGAATTCGCATAAGGTTGTGGGAAGAGAAGCTGAGGCTTATGTATGTGTGTGGAGAGAAGAGGAATGTGGGACTTTGCATGGAAGTTGATCTTCTAATATGTATGTTTTGATACAAATTACTCATAACTAAAAATTTAATGGGCTGTAAAATCAACATTCTAGTGAGAAACTTTTCCCTTGTACTTTTCTTTGCAGTTGAGAAACTAATAATTTTATGTTCTTTCACAGCTGGTTCTGTAACAGAATGTCCTCTTCTGTAGAGGAGTCTTTCAGAATGATACTGAGATTAGCCTGTGAGCTAGTCATGTTTTGGAGGCAGCTAGAAACCATTGATTCTGAGCCTTTGACCACCCTCCCTTTCTTCTTCATGTCTTCACATGTTTAAGGCCCACTGCTTGAGTCACAAAATAACTCTCAAAAAAAACTTCAACTAAAGAGAAATTTTTAATGACATGAAACAGAAAATGGATGTCTCAGTTAAAGCAGAATGAAATTAGAAAATGTAAACAATGGCATCTTTGGGAGGAAAAAACCCAAGCAAGTCAAGAAAACTCTTGCCCATTGACAATTAATAAATAAATAAATATAATTATGGCCTGGTGCTAGTGCAAAGATATTTGTGAATGAGGATTCCTGAGTGGACTTTTGGATTCCCGTTGCTTGGCTGGCCAGCCTTGAAAGAGTCTGAGGCTTAAGTCAGCAAAGCATTATTTAAGATATTCTTAAATATAAGTAGACACTCTTATAGAAGTTAAGTATCTGTTAAGATGCTTTGCCAATGCATTTTTTTTCTGAACCTCCACTTCTTGAAGTTACAGTATTTAAATACTTAACAGGAGATCAAAATGCTTGAATGAAAACGTCTCTTTAAAGAACATTACATTATAAAAGGGAAACATAAACATTAGCAGTTTTACTGAATGGCTGTACACCAACACAGCTTATTTCTAACTTACCAAAAACATGAGATGAATTTGTTTTCCTTTCTTTGCTGTTTCCTGTAACTTAGCCTTGATACCATCAAAAATTATACATTATTATGATTGTACCTAACAGCTTGCATTGCCTTCTTAATTTGTCTTTTTTTCCCAAGTTCACTGAAAAAAGCACAATAAAGGAGGAAAACTTTTTTTAATCTACCTCTCTAATGAAATGTACAGAAGCATTCAGGTAGATTTTCCTGATGAAGCATTCTGCCTTTTCCATAGTGTCATTTCAAGGGGCTGTTTTAATGCTACAGAAATCATGAATGCAACCAGAACATAGGGACATGCAGAAATGCTCTGGTGATATTTGTCTGAGTGCAAAGTGCTTAAGCATTTAAACATTTTGTCACTTGGAGAAGCATTATAATGCACATAGCATTTTTTGTTGTTTTTCACCAGTTTTCTTAGTAGTTTTGTTGATGGGCTAGTATGAATTTTATTTTAAGGAGTCAGATACGTAAGGAGTGACCAAAAAATGAGCAGTCCATCACATTTAAACACGCCTGTTTCCATCTTGATTTTTGCCATTAGGTAGTTTTCCTTTCTAAACACCTGCAGCTTTTTCTGATACCTTTACTGCATCCCTTCATCTCATTCAGCACAGTGCAGAAGTAGTTTTCCCTCGGATGCAAAACTGAATGACGCGTCATGAAGTGGAACAGGAGCAGGGACCTCAGAGGCTCGTATCTGGTTTACTTAACTCCACGTGCTTTTTCCTGTTGTAGCATCAAACGCTGAAAGGAGTGCAAGGGTTTTTTTCTCACCTAAAAGAAAACACAGTAGTCAGGGGAGTGCCATTTCTGATCTGTGTGAGGCTCAGTTTACTAACAGTGAGCAGAGTTTGGTTAACTTCATATTCTGGACAAGCTTGTAAATTTGTCCCCGTCTAGTGCTGTGATCTTATCAAGGTTGTACTGTTTTCCTTCCTTTTCTTCTCCTCCACCCCCATCTTCTTTCTTTCCTTTTTTTTTTTTTTTTTTTTTTTGAAGTGCAGCCTTCTGATCAATGTGCACTTTTTTTCCCCATTTCCCTAAATACATCATGAAAAAGGATGAGGTTTCCGCCTTAATTGCTTGTGCCTTTTATTCACATTCCTCTCTCAGCCAGAATTGTGAAAAGAGTGTTAGTAAAAGGCTGCACAATAGAGCTTTTCATTAGCCCTCAACAAGGCACACAAAAGAAGGCTTTTGGAAAG